TCAAATGCCTGCGGCTGAGGTGCAGGGGCAAAGGCCTCTGCGAGAGCAGGAGCGGCGTTGTCAGCCGCCGATAGGATGAGATCGTCCGACAACGGCTCGTCCTCCTCAGGACTAGCAGGTCCAGACGTCCCAGAGTGAGCCAGGACGCTGGACGGCGTCGGGGTGACAGACCGGCGAGAGGTGGCCCGAGCAGAGACGGGGAGGCGAGGAGCCATGGCGGAGAAAAACAGGGAGAGACGAGGTACGGGGGAGCGACGTGAGAGCGAGGCGAAGAGAGAGAAAAAACGAAAACGAAAATGCGAGCTGGAGTCTAAGCCGCGAGCGAGATGGTGGCGGTTGTGGATCAAGAGACAACGCCACCGATCTCACTGCTCGCTCTGGCCAGAAAAGTCGCGCCGCTGGTCACGCGTGCGTTGACTTTCCGCGACCCTCTCAGCTTCAACATATCGCGAGTGATTTTATCTTTGATTTTGGGCCATGGTAAGCTCACTGCCATATGGTACTTAATGATAAGAGCCCTATGATATGATAATCCCGTTATCAGATAGTGGGCTAACACTTAAACGATGTTGAACCGTCACCATTTACGATCAAACACAACTATATTAACGGTCATCTTATAATACTCATAGCCTCCATTATGCCCCGAATTTTTCCCCCCGATTTAGTGATGACGCAGCTAGCGAAGCTAAACAGATTATCTTCTGTAAGCGCTGAAGCAAGAAAACAAGACGATCAAACAATCATACCGGAGAGAAGCTGCACCAAATCTGCACTGCGTTTGTGATGGAACTTTCTATAAGCCATACATATACATAGCCCCTCCACGACTTCTTAACGTACATCGATGAAACCTGGGTCAGGCTCGCCAGACCTGGTTCATCGGATGTCCAGTCTAGCCTCTCTCTCACGCATTGTCTTCGCGGGCCGAGAGTTGGGAACCGATCAGGAGGCTGAGCGCTGAGAAACACATGCACATACACTGCAGGACTACAATACTCTAGCTATATGATCTGTCCTCTAGATCTTGGGGGGCTGCGCAGACTCCTAGACCGGCCCGGCTCGTAATACATGCTACTAATCCGACACAGTTTCTACCTGTAACGGCGATAACCAATGGTTCAACTTCAGCCTGGCAAGTTTCCCCCTTTCAAAGATTGCTTCATCGACGTACGACCTTGTCCCTGGATACCTTTTCATGGCATTCCAGAACTAAAAGGAGTACACCAAGCCCTTCAAGCTTCAATTTTGACTCATCGATTGATCCTTTACTTTGTGTCGCTGCAACTCTGTCGCGTTATCTTTCACCCCTTGTTAGAGTACCAATTGCTCCATCAAACTATGCTCGCGTAGGCATCACCGAAGTTTGATTTCAGGGACTCGTAAACCATATACGAGGAAGATATTACGCCATAATATCGACTAAGTACTTACGATCAGTATCCATGCTCCCTCACCTTTCGAGCGATATCAGCAGTTTCCAAACCAAAATAAGTAGGCCTTGCTTGAAACAGAATAGGCGCATGACATGGATTAGACTGGTTACGAGTCTAGGTATGAATACTCGTGCAATGCGTCGTTCTGGAGTCTTCCGTCTACATCCAAGCCCCTAGCTGTACGATTAAATCGCCAACAAGGACATGATCCTCGCATAGAATTGTGTGGTCATTGCGGTTAATGTGAAGGTGAATAGACATGCAAACGCGCTGCTTTAACAGATGTACAAAGGCAAGATGCAATATCTGAGTAGTCAACCAAGGTCTGATGTAAGTTCACTCCGCCGAAGCAATGAAGCACTCATCTTCCAACTCTTTCCATCCTGGGAGGTCAAAAAGCGTAGGGAGATCATTCCAAGCTTGTACTATATTGCTGGTGTGAGTGGAAATTGCATGGTTTGAACATGTGTTGCAAACATTAGTGTTCCATGAATAGTCGAAGCGGTCCAGCGGCTGGCACGAAGAGGTGGGGTATAACTTAAGACTTATGACCCAATACCTCTGATTGACGCAGTCGAAGGAACGACACTGACTTGGCGTAATATTTCCGTACTTGAGCCAAGAATAGGTCTTAGCAGCACAGTTCTCGAAAGGCTTCCATGCAGAGACGCAGATTGCCCGGTTCTTTGGGGTGAGCGTAGCTATCTCTCCTTCTCCGTTGACTCCGCACTCGAGCTCTCGTAGTGAACATTGCGTCAAGCATTCGTAGAATGCGGCAGGAAGGACTCTCAAGATGCCACCCTCCTGTGCTAAATTCGCCACGTTGATGGCTAACGCCTTCCGGGAAGACGAAACGATGGACGTAGTGCGTGACTGCCACGAGGGCAGCGTGTCGGGGAAGTCAGACATGAGACAAGTCCTGGCTTCTTCATAGAGCGCTTTAATCTCGTACTTCTTCCCCAGGCGGAGGAAAGCCGCGACTACGGGAAAAGGGACTGTGGTAGTGGGGACCAGACGAATGTGATAGCTAAAAATGGAGCGCGCTTGCGTTGGCAGGGGTGCGAAGTTCAAGGGCTCGGCGCACTCACCCTCGACCATATAGCGCACATAAGACGTGCTCAATGTCGTCGGCCGCATCTTGCAGGCGAACCACGGGACAGCCCTCGATCGAGCTCTCCCCCTCGTGCGATGCGGTAAACATGTCCATGAACACCTGCGAGTACCGAGATAGGATGCTGCGGTGGACGCGAAAGGCCTTGGAGTCGTCGGCGGATACGACGACGACGTTGCCGTCTTCAATCCATGGGTCGCAGTGCTGGGGCATGATACTAGACAGATGTTCCGCTCAAGATGCGAATGTACGACGCTGATGGTATTTGTGAGATCTTGGGAAGACGGGCTATACAGCAGTTCGAAGTGCCACAGAAGAAGGATGATTTGGCGCCTAGATAAGCCAGCACATACACGGACTTGACGCCGTGAAGTGGCTCGTCGAAAGAAGCTCACGCCACGTGTGGGGCGCCGACGAACGGGCGAGCTAGAAAAAGCATGATGCTTATTTTGTGTCAGCGTCATCAATCACAGTTTTCATAGGTCATACGCGCGCGAATAACAACAAGTGCTCGTTTTCAGAAATGTCGCCGTGCTTACTACCAATCTTGTTCCGAACAAAGAGAACCGGAAGAGAGAAGAGAGTCATTTCAATGCGATCCGACATCGTCATTGGCATCGGTGCGGGTACTATCACCACTGTCAGCCGCCGTCCTCCGCCGCCCGCTCAAAAGCGCACCGACCCATTCTATACTCGACCACCCTCGCTCTCTGAACCCCACTCCCACTCTCTGAAGCCCACCACCACCACTCGCAACACGCAAACACGCACCCAGATTAGCAAAACGCAAATCATGGATCAAGCCGCAGAAGCACCGCCAACCACAACCACGCCATCATCCGACCTATCCGCCGCCCTCGACATCGTCGTCTCTACCCTCAACAGCGCTTCCAGCAACACAGGTACGAGCTCAGGCGCGACGGACACCACGACTGCGAGCACGTTCGACGAGGCGCTCGAGTTTGCACGGGCGTACGAGGCTGCGAGAAGGCGCGAAAAAGAGGAGGAGGAGGCGAAGCACGCGGAGGAGGCGAAGCACGCGGAGGAGGCGCTGGCAATGTTCGCGTTCGATGCGTTCGACGAGGACACGCCTGCGGCTGCCGACGACGATGAAAATGAAGGTGTCAACAGCAAGCCAGAGAGCGAGGGTATCGGGATGCAAGTGTCTGGAAGCAATTTAACGCTGAGGTATCCGAGCCCGGAGGTTGACGATGCGTGTGTCCCAAGCATGGAGCTAGACCTGGACTTGGACCTGGAGGCACTTGGGTGCCCGAGTCTCGCAGCTGAGGATACGCATACAGCGGACTTCTACCTGGAGGCGCTGGGATATCCGAGCCCAAGTGATGTGGGCGGGGATTTCTATGCCGTGGGCATGAAACTTGACCTCAATGTCGACGGAGTGACTGGCGCTCAGATGGCGGCTCTCGACGGGGAACTGGGTCCGGGAAGCACAGAGATGTTTGACTGTCAAGGTGAGACTACTCGCGGCTCGTAAATGCAGCTCGCTTATGCAGGTGACAGGTCCGCGAGAGGATGGTATCCCGGACCAAGGCATCATGGAAGAGTTCATTGATTTTGGTGAGCGAGCTCATACCATAACGACGTCAGAACTCTAGCTGAAGCATGCCACAAAGCGAGCTATGGTCTTACGCAGAGCTTTGGAGAAGAGTTTCTGAGCCCGAGTAGGAGGCCTATCTTGGTTGGCTGGTCGTCACCGAACGGCGAGGAGACTGTTGAGCTTGGCCCGGCAGAACTCGCCTTTTGCAGGACTGCGCTCGTCCCCGACGCCCAGAACGAGACATGGATGTCATCACCTACTGCTTTCGATGTGCCGCAGACGCCTATCGAAGTCTCCTTCCCCTTCCACGCTGGTTTTGATGTGCCAGTGACACCGACTGCCGCCCAGGCCCCAAGTGTCGATGCAACGATACCTACGACCAATCAGTCTTCGCCACGGTTCGCGTTTGACGCGCCCAAAACATCGCCTGCGGCTCGGGCTCAAACCGCGGCTTCAACAGCCACTTCCGCACGGAAGCCCAAAGCACGTAAACGTTCTGAGAGCGAACGCCGTCCGCTCGCCAACAAGCCCAGACTCATCAACGTGCCAGAGGCAACAAAGGCAGCCGTGCAGCAGCTCTCGGATGAGGTCGCCAAGTCCAGGGCACGTACACAGCCGTCACAGGCGTATCGGCACAACGGGGGCAGAGCGCCACGGGGCGGCGTGCCGCCTAACCTGGCTCGGGACATCACGCGTGCGTACGCGATGCAGCTGGAGGAGGAAAGGGAGAAGGTGATGAAGGAGGAGGCGGCTAGGGAGGCGGAGGGCGCGTTTAAGCTGGCGATGGGAGTCGTTACAGCTGCGATGGAGGCGGACGGTGGGTACGAGTGCGGGCAGCCGCTGGACGAAGGTGCGTCTCCAGGTCCAGTTCCTGGGGACGAGTTTGCAATCCTTGCCGAGAGCTGGGAAGGGTTCGGTGTAGACGGAGCGGACGACCGAGTTCGGGGTTCGGTGGGTGAGCCGGAGGATTCGGAGAGGCGTAAGGTGAAGAGAGCAAAGTTATATTGAGTCTTGAGCTCAGCCACGATATATTAGCACGCCGTCGCCGTTCGTTGTTCCTAGTTACCTGGCGGTGTTGTCCAAAGTTGCATATGTCTTCCCAGCCCTCAGACCCGTTCTAGAAAGCTCTGGCATCGTGTTCGAAGCAAAGACCCTGGGATGCCAGCTGGCTTGTGTGTGATACGATCGAGGGAGGAGAGAAACGGGAAGAAGTCGGCGGTGGACCTCCATATAAACGGTGATCCCGGCGGAGCGGTGCAGGGCGGTCAAGTCGACAAGTGGCCGACTGGCCGAGCTCCATGTGTCGCGGTTCTCAATGGAGGGCCTAGATCGAAGCTCCGTGAGTAAATCGCGTCGGTGGTTACGAGCCAGAGTGAGAGACACAGGCAGCTGGAAGTACGTTGTATTTCTGCTCAGCGGTCTCAGAGTCATTCCGAGGCCACACGGGGGGCTATGGGCAAGCAGAAATGGTGGCACATGCAAGGCACATTGTGGAGGCGGTGAGGAAGAGGGGAGGAAAGACCGGGACAGAAAATAAAGGGAGACGATCATTGGCGCGCGGAGTGGCCGGCGTGGGAAGGCCGGAGGAGCTATTTCGGGCGTGTTTTCCCTCGAGCCTGGGCGTTGTCAGCTCCAGTCCACGCGCCTCAGCCTCAGCCTCATTCCTTTTCTCCTTCTCTGCTGCCAACGCCGACGACGACGAGGCCCCTCCCATTCTTCCCTCCATCTTACTTTTTACAGTCTTTCCTTTTAATATCGTCCTATTAGCATCTCTCGCCTAGAGAGGAGGGCCGTCCTCTCCAACCATGAACAGACAGTCCACGGGCATGAGCCTCCAGCGGCTCGAGTCTGTCAACGACCTCGCTACCCTCTCCCCCGTCTCAGATGACATCATCGTAACATGCATCCGCGAACGCTTCATGTCAGACAACATCTACACTGCCATCGGTTCAAACGCCATCGTCGCAGTCAACCCCCACAAGTATGTCTCATCCAACGCAGACTCCCTCCTCCACAAATACGCCGCCGACTACCGCAACACTCAAGACAACAAGACGCCCCTTCCCCCACATATCTTCCAGCTCGCCAACGATGCCTACTTTCACATGCGCAGAACCACCCAGGATCAGTCCCTCCTAATCAGGTGAGGAGCCATTTCCGTCCCTTCTCCCGCATTTCTCGCATTTATATCGTCCGTGCGATCTATCTAACTGTTCCATTCTCTCAGCGGTGAAACTGGAAGTGGAAAATCGGAAAATCGGCGTCTCGCCATCAAAACTCTCCTCGAGCTCTCGGTCAGCAACCCGGGCAAGAAAGGCTCCAAACTCGCCAGCCAAGTTCCCGCTGCCGAGTTCGTTATCGAATCCTTCGGTAACGCCCGGACGCTCTTCAACCCTAACGCCTCTCGGTATGGCAAGTACACTGAGCTCCAATTTACGGAGCGGGGCCGATTATGCGGCGTCAAGACGCTCGACTACTACCTCGAGCGCAACCGCGTCGCGGCTGTCCCTTCGGGCGAACGCAACTTCCACATCTTCTACTACCTCGTTGCTGGAGCGACGACCGAGGAGAGGCAGCACCTTCGCCTGGTCGACAAGGCGGCCTATCGCTATCTCGGTCAGCGGAACATTGGCGCTCAGAACGGCGTCCGCGATGACGATGCGAACCGGTTCGAGCAGCTGAAAGGGGCTCTCAAGTCGATCGGTTTCTCCAAGCGGTCTGTCGCACAGACCTGCCAGCTCTTGGCTGCCATCCTTCACCTTGGCAATTTGGAGTTCACCATCGACCGCGGTCGCGATGTCGACGCTGCTGTCGTGCGCAACACCGACACCCTCGCCATCGTCGCCGAGTTCCTCGGCGTTCAGCCTGCAGCCCTCGAGGCGACCCTGTCGTACAAGACGAAGATGGTCAAGAAGGAGCTTTGTACCGTCTTCCTTGATACTGATGGTGCATCCGACAATCGTGACGACCTCGCCAAGACCCTCTACTCTCTCCTATTCGCCTGGCTCAATGAACACATCAATTCCCGTCTGTGCCGCGACGACTTCGATACCTTCATTGGTCTCGTTGATCTCCCGGGCCCGCAGAACATGACATCGCGCCCCAACTCCCTGGACCAGTTCTGCATCAATTTCGCCAACGAGCGTCTGCAAAACTTCATCCAGAAGCAGATCTTCGAGTACCACGTCACCGAGTACACCTCGGAAGGTGTCGCTGAATACGTCCCCACAGTCCCTTACTTCGACAACTCGGAGTGCTTGCGGCTGCTGCAGAACCAGCCGGGTGGGCTCATCCACATCATGGACGACCAGGCGCGTCGCTCGCAGAAGAAGACGGACCAGAGCATGGTCGAGGCCTTCGGCCGCCGGTGGGGCAACCACTCGTCGTTCAAGGTCGGCTCAATGGATCGCTCGGGCTTCCCCACGTTCACGGTGAACCACTTCAACGGGCCGGTCACGTACTCTGCCGAGGGCTTCCTCGAGCGTAACCTTGACGCCCTCAACCCAGACTTTGTCTCTCTCCTCCGCGGCAGCTTGCAGGCGTCGGACGGCGTCGAGACCTCCGGGTCTGTCAACCCATTCGTCAAGGGCCTGTTTACGGGCAAGGCGATCGCGACGCAGGCGCACCCTAAGGACGAGGATACGATCGTCGCAGCGCAGCAGACGATCAAGCCGATGCGCAAGCCGTCGACGCGGCGCAAGGGTACGATCCGCCGGCGGCCGACGCAGCGCGAGGGCACGACAGGGGCAGCAGAGACGATTGATGAGGACGACGACGACGCGGGGCCCGCGCCGAACGCGGGCTCACCGTGCGTCGCGGGCGAGTTTAGGAGTGCGCTCGACACGCTGTTTGAGACGCTGGGCGATACACAGAACTGGTTTGTGTTTTGCGTCAATCCGAACGACTCGCAGCTGCCGAACCAGATCGAGGGGCGAAGCGTGAAGGGGCAGGTGCGCAGCGCGTGTATTGCGGAGGTGGCGAGGCGGAACGTGACGGTTTTCGAGGCGGGTATGACACCTGAGGAGTTTGTGGATAGGTATAGGGAAGCTTTGACGGCGATTGGGATTGGTGCGGCGGTTACGCCGCTCGAGGCGATTGCGCAGGCGCGGGATAAGCTGGGGCTTACGGAAAGGGATTTGGTTACGGGCACGTACAAGGTGAGCTGTGGTATTATAGTGTCTAAGAGGACTGTGGCTGATGAAGCTGGCGATAGGTGTTCCTAACCCACGCTGCGTTCCACGCGCTCGAGAACCACCTCCGCTCTCTCGATACGGAGGAGCAGAAGCGCAACCGCATGCGTGACGCCGAGGCCGAGGCTGGTCTCGACGTGCGCAGCATCGGCGACATCTACGCACCGTACGCTTCGCCGGGCGGGAACCACGACCTCACGGACCCATTCTCGTCGCAGCAAAACCTGCCGCTCGTGCAGCACGCCGCCGGTGGCGTCGGCGGCGGGATGTACGACGACTATGACGACGAGCGGCACTCGTTGCGGTCAGACGACTATGATGCTCGTAGCCGCCTCACGAGTAACCGGGAGGATACCGCGTCGCACTACGGCTCGGAGTCGTACGCCCCCTCACGCAACATGTTCCAGAACGCGGACAAGGAGGCGCTCGTGCAGAAGGAGATGTTGCCGGGCGAGGTCGCCGAAGGCGAGACGACGGAGGTGGTCAAGGAGACGTCGGCACGCAGGCGCTGGGTGATGCTCACGTGGATGCTGACATTCTGGGTGCCCACGCCGTTCCTGACGTGGTTCGGGCGCATGAAACGGCCCGACGTGCGCCAGGCGTGGCGCGAGAAGCTGGCGATCAACATGCTCATCTGGTTTATTTGTGGCTGCGCGGTGTTCGTTATCGCGATTATGGGTCTCATTATCTGTCCGACGGAGCACGTGTATAGCACGTCGGAGCTGCAGTCCCACTCGTACCAGAACTCGCCGAATAATGTGTACACGTCGATCCGTGGAGAGGTTTTCGATCTCACGGAGGTTGCGGCGACGCATCAGCGGATTGTTAGTGTTGTGCCGACCAAGTCGATTTTGCAGTATGGTGGGACGGATGCGAGCGATATTTTCCCTGTCCAGGTGGGTTTTTAGTGTTTGGTCTGGGTGAAAGTAGATTTCTGACGTCTGTTGTGCTGTTCATTAGGTCAGTGCTCTTTGCAGTGGTGAAGGTCAAGGTGTCAGCCCCTGGGTCCAGCTCAACTCCGGCAACACGAGCGACCCGAACGCGCAGTACCACGACTTCCGCGCGGCGACGAACGACTCTCGCCCGGATTGGTACTTCGAGTCTATGACGGTCATGCGGTGGAACAACCGTGTCGGGTACATGGGATACACGCCCAAGGAGATCTCCAGCTTGGCCAACTCGGGCTCCTCGGTGGGCATCATCGACGGGCTGGTGTACGATCTCACGAGCTACGTGAACAACGGGCCGTCCATTCAGACGCCCTCGGGCACGCAGATCGGCGGCGGCGGCACGGACGCGCAGTTCATGAACTCGGGCGTTGTGGGTCTGTTCAAGTACAACTCGGGCCAGGATCTCTCGAAGCAGCTCGGTAAGCTCGGGATGACATCCGACCAGCTCGCTGCGCAGAGGACGTGTCTCCGCAATCTGTTCTTGAAGGGCATGGTGGACAACCGCGAGTCGCCTGCGTGCCAGTTCTCGACGTACATTCTCCTCGTGCTGTCGATTATCATGGTCAGCGTGATCGGATTCAAGTTCATCGCGTCGGTCAACTTTGGTGCGGCCCGTGCGCCCGAGGACCACGACAAGTTCGTGATCTGTCAGGTGCCGTGTTACACCGAGGGCGAGATCTCGCTCCGGCGGACGATCGACTCGCTCGCGCAGCTCAAGTACGACGACAAGCGCAAGCTCATCCTGGTTATTTGCGACGGAAACATCGTCGGTTCGGGCAACGACCGGCCAACGCCGCGCATCGTGCTGGATATTCTCGGCGCGGACCCGAATATCGACCCGGAGCCGCTCAGCTTCTTGTCGCTCGGGGAGGGCGTGAAGCAGCATAATATGGGCAAGGTGTATTCGGGCTTGTACGAGTGCGCGGGGCACGTTGTGCCGTATCTGGTTGTCGTCAAGACGGGCAAGCCGTCGGAGCGGTCGCGTCCTGGTAACAGGGGTAAGCGTGATTCGCAGATGGTGATTATGCGGTTCTTCAACAAGGTGCGTTCTTGGTTTCTCTTCTATGGCTGGTCGGTGTGTTGGGTGCTGATGTGGTATTTTTTTAGGTTCACTTTAACACGCCGATGAATCCGCTCGAGCTGGAGATGTATCATCAGATCAAGAACGTTATTGGTGTTAATCCGACGTTCTACGAATATCTGTTCACTGTCGATGCTGATACGTCGGTGGAGCCGCATGGTGTTAACCGGTTGATTTCTGCGTATGTCTCATTCTGGGTTTGGGATATTATTGAGGCTGAATGGTTCTGTCCAGCATGATTCGCGACAAGAAGCTTCTCGGTGTCTGCGGCGAAACGGAGCTGCTGAACCCTAAGCAGTCACTCATTACGATGATGCAGGTCTACGAGTACTTCATCTCGCATCACATGGCCAAAGCCTTCGAGTCCCTCTTCGGTTCCGTCACCTGTTTGCCCGGTTGTTTCACGCTCTATCGCCTGCGCACCCCGGACACGCACAAGCCTCTCCTCATCGCCAACCAGATGATCGAAGATTACTCGGAGAACCGCGTCGACACGTTGCACATGAAGAATTTGCTGCACCTCGGAGAAGATCGGTACTTGACCACGCTTCTCCTCAAGCATTTCCCGCTGTTCAAGACACAGTTCGTCCGTGACGCGCACGCGTGGACTGTCGCACCCGATGATTGGAAGATTCTGTTGTCGCAACGTCGTCGCTGGATCAACTCGACGGTTCACAACATGAGCGAGCTGATCTTTGCGGACAATTTGTGCGGTTTCTGCTGTTTCTCGATGCGATTCATCGTCATGGTCGATCTGTTGTCGACTATTGTTGGTCCGGTCACCGTCGGATACGTGAGTCGTTGTAATGGTTTGGTACTCCACTTCGGGCGCTTACGCGACTTCCCTTACCCTAGATCGTCTACCTGATCGTCTCGGTCGTCACGAAGAAGGAGACGATCCCCATCATCTCACTTGTCATGATTGGCGCTATCTACGGTCTCCAGGCGTTGGTCTTCATCCTGCGGCGCAAGTGGGACATGGTTGGCTGGATGCTGTTCTACATCCTCGCTATACCCGTTTTCACGTTCCTTCTGCCGCTCTACTCGTTCTGGCGTATGGATGATTTCTCGTGGGGTGCGACGCGTCTTGTGCTTGGAGAGTCTGGCAAGAAGATTATCGTTCACGTATGTTTTTCGTTTCTTTTGGGTTGAGATCGGTGCGGCTAACCAACGGTTTGCTAGGACGAGGGCAAGTTCGACCCACGTGCGATTCCTCTAAAGTCTTGGACGGACTACGTACGTATCTACGTGTTTCTTATGGAGGAGTAATGTAGCTCATCGCTGTTTCACTACAGGAAAACGAGCTCTGGGACAAGGAGTCGAACCACAGCATCGGCTCGTGGGTACCACCTTCCAAGTTTGGCGGCGGTGCCTACGCGGAGACGCACACGGCTTCTGTCTACGGCCGGGAGACGTTCTACGATCCGGTACCCGCGCGCGGACAATCGCCAGCACCATCGCAGTTCAACATGATGCCCCCTCTCGGTTACAACCAGACTGGCTTCAACTCTGGACGGAACACACCGATGTCGCAAATACGGCCCATGAGCGAGATGGGTGCTATGGGACCGATGGCTGGCAACATGAGCATGTACGGCGGTATGGGAGGCATGGGCGGTATGCAGGGCATGCAGGGCTCGATCTACCAGCCCGCACCATCGCGGCCGGGGACGAACTACTTCGATATGCCTATTGCTCAGCAACCTACCGGTGGTGGCACACCCCAGGGCCACTTCGACGCCGGCGCGGCTGGAGGCCCCAGCGACGTTGAACTCGAGCAGGCCGTGCAGAACGTGCTTGCGTCGGCTGACCTGAACACGGTTACGAAGCGGGCTGTCCGCACACAGCTCGAGGAGCATTTCGGGATGGACCTCACGCCGCGCAAGCAGACGATCAACGCTGCGATCGACCGGGTGCTGCTGAGCCATGCCTAAGGCGCTCTCCGCCCTTGCACGCGTACGCCCACGTACGCTTTTGGTGAATTGGGGATTTTTGATGTGATGCCGTGGTAATGTTTCGGACGGTTTGCATACTGCACAAATTGCGCGGACTGGATCATGCATGGACTACTTTTTTCATACATACAATATACTGAAACAACTTGGATCTATAAACCAAACAACCCTCTTCTCCCCCCCAACCGCTATCGTTACGAACCCATCCATGTCCATGCACCGAGTATTGTTTGATTCTTTTCACTCTACCCTAGGACTTCTTGACCTGACACTTTCTTTCCTTTTCGCCTCTTCTTACTTCTTCGCCTAGTGCTCGGGCGGCCACTCCTACCCCTTCTTGAGCGTTTCTGAGCATCGGACACCATTGCGTGGCATGCATGCCAATCTCTTCCCTCTTGTGTTATATCGCATTAGTTACTATAGATCAGCTTCCTTGCTGAAAGATATATGGGTAATCGGATACTAGACCTGCTGACCAAGTTCACGGTGCGTTTCGTGCGATAGTGAGGAAGACACGGAGTGAGGGCCACGCGCCTACCTCTGCCTTTCGGTTCATTTGATGTTATGGGTCTGTATGGGTCCCGAAGTTGTTGCCGCGCCGAAAAGACTGAAGTCGATGTTTGTTTCATGAGTAAAAAGCTCTCGTCATCTCTTCTGAGAGGAGGATACTATGCCGCATGAAGCACAAGATGAAACTGCCACATTAAGACTACTGGAGATTTGCTGGGGGTGCTAACTCGGAGGACGAAAGTTTGACTTGGTGTTGCGCAATCGTCCGATGTAGCCGGCAGTTATACAAAGTGGGCTTGCTGTATTTGATCCGGGGACCTATTTCTGATACAAGGACTACACGTTTCTGTGTTCCTTTGCGACCAACGTGGGACTGGTGTACACATATCATCTTGTCTATCGTTGCATCCTTCTTATCTGGCTACTACCGTACCGTCAGAATCCTGCGTACGTCAGGCGTTCGGCTATGCAAGAAGGAACAAGTTGACGGAGGATTGAAAGATGTACTAACACACTGTTGTTCTAAGATCAGGCAAGTTCTTGTATCTATCACGGTGTATTGGCATGGCGGGTCTGCCGCAATATACACATTTCTATGTAGTGGAATTTTTTAACATCGATTCTACTGCAGCTGCCGAGGTTGTCAGTATTCATGTTGGGATGTTCGCAGCATTCATTCACATATAGAGCTTGGGCACCCACATATGCCTTTGCAGAAGCTTGAGTTGGCCTCAACCGCGCGCGTTGCATGAGGCAGATACGACAAGAGATACGGAGCACGGCACCGCAGCTGAGCTTGCACAGCCACACGCGTGTCGCTTACCTTTATTTGCTTTTCTTTGACACCATGTGTCCATATATGTCCCGTTGTCGCTGTGCCGAAGACAACCATAGACCCAGCTCTGTGGCATTCCCTCGGGAACGGCTCCTCTCATTCAACCACAAGTCAATAAATTCACGTTATGTATCCATGGGGATGATATCAAACAAAGGAGACATCATTCCAGTATAAGGCTATGTACCGTTGTTCTTGCCGTTGTTCCTCTTTTATCTTTGACAGCCTTCGTCTTGGCGTTGCGGGTTCGCCCGAGAATGACTTGTAGGCGCCTGTGGACCATCGCGAATTTCTTTCAAGTTTCAACTATGTCGACCGGATTGACGAGTACGTTCTGTCGTGTCCATTCATCTTGTGTCAGCTCACCAATGTGTAACGATCAGGTACTTGGAGAGAGCTATACAACAAGACAGCTGGGGCAGCCGTGTACAACGCAAACGAGCATCGAACGTTCTCCAAGTGCCTCCCTGGGACGCGTGACGAGCTCCTTTCTAGTCTGCGGAACGCGCTGGTCGAGGAAAAGCCGTCAATCGTCTGGCTCCTCGGCGAATCGGGAACTGGGAAGTCGAGTGTCGCCCATAGCATCTCACAGCAACTGAACGAGCAAGAACGGCTGGCGGCTACCTTTTTCTTTTCCCGGAGGCAGGAGAGACGGAACATCCCGGGCCATGTCTTCCTTGATATTGCCTATCAGATTGGGTGTCAGCATCCTCATGCCAAAGAAGTCATCATTCAAGCTATCGAGAACGATCCTGGACTACTACATAGCGGCCATCCGCTCGAGGAACAGTTCGAAAAGCTTGTCAAGGAACCACTTAGAGCCCTTCGTTTCTCTTGGACGAAGCCAAGAACCATTGTTCTTGATGCGCTCGATGAATGCGACCCTTCTTATGAGAGTCAGATCGAGCTGATGATCCTTAAAATGGCTGAGCTGCTGCACGACAAGTCTAACGTCCCAATCTCTCACATACTGATCACTAGCCGACCTCTTCCCCAGCTTGTCGCTGTCTCGCAAAGTGCTCATATCAGGGTAGACGTCTCCTCCGTTTCAATTGATGGTTTTGACGCCACGAATGACATCAAAACCTACCTCGAACACTCCTTCAATGCACTTTACCTTTCCAGGCGAATGGACCTTATCATCCGAAGACCCTGGCCGACTGAAGACGTCTTGACTTCCTTATCACGTCGAGTTCAGGGCCGTTTTATTGTTGCAGCAACTATTGTTCGGCTGGTTGCGCTGGCGGAACATCCGGCCGATTGTCTCGATCTCGTTGCGAACTTGTACGACGGACGAGTAAACACCATAGACATCGATCTCCGCAATATCGACTCGCTTTACCATTATATCATCTCTCAAGCTCATGATGGCAGTGACCTTGAGCGACGAACCGGAGCTATGTTGCTGTCAGACATCATTGCCTTGGCGAGGCCTTTGTCAGTGATGGACATCTGCGCATTGTTTGGCGTCAATGTCCTGAGAGGTACTGAGCCTCTCCTAGCCATTATATGCGTACCAGAGGGGGGACCTGTTCAAATATATCATACCTCTCTCAGGGACTACTTGCGGGACGAGTCTAGGTCTCAGGAGCTCCATGTCCATCCTTCAAGTTCGCATTCACGCTTAGCACAGTCATGTTTCCGGAAATTAAGGGGCATGTTGCGTCCGCGACGGACAGGTGAGCACCCAACTTTTTTCCCATCATCAACTAATGATTAAATTTTTGTTGTATGAACAGACCGCGACCTTGAGCAACATATTCGCGAAGAAACCGATACAGGCAACTTCCGATACGCGTTGACTCACTGGTCGTTTCACCTTCGGCACTCTGATCAAAGCGCCGAAATTAAAGCTTTCCTTTTTGACTTCTTGAGCAATTATGGGGAACTGTTTGTACAGAGAAGCCAGACCATGGGACGTTCTATACATGCTAAGACGTCTCTCATTGAGGCCATGTTTGTAGTGGAGAAGGTGAGGGCGCCACAAGTGCTAAGTGCTTATGACCGACTGTCTTACCTTCGAAACAGAAATGGGCGCCCTTTGATCGTCAGGACGAGGTTCTCGCACTGCTGAGACGCTTATACGAAGGCAGTGATTGGCTTACCAACGGCAGGCGGGTCGTAGAGTATGGAAGGCATGGCCAGTCGAACAGGTCACAGCGACGTATTCTTTGGTATCAACAGGGTGACCTTATAAGACGCTCTACTAGCTCGAACACGGGGTGGACTCTCCCTCCTAGTCCAGAGCCATAAAAGGACGTTTAGTTAGGATATGATTGATGCGATGGCAAAAGAAAAGGTAGATAATGATGTAAGGAGAATTTCGTAGCAAATGACACTCATGAAGAACTTTGAGCAAATCTGAAATTGCCCTGTCACGACTACGTTTGACAAGGGTGCGCCCATATTGGAAGTTGTACAACACGGGATAGCAGACGAAACCACGAAAGTCCAAATTTCATCGTGCACTCCGCCGGAAACGTAAACCAGCGCGTACACTTCACATGAGGTCTAGAGATGTACAGACGCACTCGAATACCCACCAAGCTCAAGCGCTTAAGTGTTTGCTCATTGGATATCATGTCTAACCACGTAGCCGGCGCGAACCTCCTTTCATCATTCTGGTCCACACAACCAACGCCTTTACGATGCTTGAACAGGAGTGCTTTATCACCTGTACAGATTGGCGGTGAGTACTTGAGTACTAGAGTTAGTTTAATGAGTGACAAACGATCTCGATTCACAGTCGAATGCATCGACGCCTTCATGTCTCGTATTGAGAGCCGCCATCTGAACGCCAGTGTCCTCGTATACATCACACCGCATGCTTGCTGCATAACAACTGGGGTTAGCGTAAGAGGTCGTGAGTTTTAGAGCCTAACTTAGCTTGCTTATTAGTGACTTGGGAAGGCGCTTCTTTGAACTTGCCACGATGCATGGTGGGTCACAATGATGATGACACGTTGGCAATGATATTGACGTAGGTCCATTTTGCGAAATGTTCTTTGCACTTTCACAGACTTTCGGACCAGGTTGAAGTGGTCCGCGCGCATGCTGATGTATTCACGTTTATGGCCAGCGAACATCTTTGCTCATGGCGCTAAACTCGCCAATAAGCTTTACCAACCCCGAAACGCCGTCTTAACGCAACGTTGATATCTATGGGCACTTTGGCAGCTTCCGCTCTCTTCTCGTCCACCCTAGGCACAGCGACATTTAAGAAAATTACCTCCCCTTAGGTGGGTTCACGCCTGACCATAAGCAAATGGTAGACGGTGCCTTCAAATCGTACATCAGCACGTTGTAACGTTTGCTTGCTTCTATTTTGGATTATCTTGGGCTGATGTTTATCTTTGTTTTGTTCCGAGTCGATGCCATGTCGAGTTCGATGTGTCCTACTCTTCTCGGTCGCTCGCTAGAAAAGGGAGGTATACTTATTCCCTATGTAGATCTACGTTGCTGGTGCAGCATAACGTGATAATTAGCTGGGCGTGACGATCAGGATGAAAGCCCAACATCATTTAAGCCTCCATGTCCGTTAATGATTTAGGTGTACACCTGACGTTGCGGATTGATCCGAGAATAGATCGTGGCGTCTAGATAACATCGCGCTTACTCCGCATGCCATGTCGACTGGAGTAGCAAGTATGTACCTCCATGTTTGTATGTCTTCTGTGAGCTTACCGAAACACAACATATCTGGATAGGTACTTGGAAGGAGCTTTACAATGCGACGGCTAAAGCAGCAGAGTACAACGCTAACGAACGTCGGAATTTTTCGAGATGTCTTCCAGGAACGCGTACAGAACTCCTCAATGACCTACAGGATGATTTCGGCCAAGACGGAAGGAAGATTGTATGGCTCTTCGGCGATTCGGGAACGGGAAAGTCCAGTGTCGCCCACACCATTGCCCAGCGGTTGAAGGAGCAGGACCGACTGGCGGCTACGTTCTTCTTTTCGAGAAAACAACGTGGTCGGAGCAATCCAAACCAAGTCCTCTCCACTATTGCCTATCAGATCGGCTGCCTTCACCGTCGAGCCAAGGAAGCCATCGTTCGTGCTATCGAGGACGATCCCGGACTACTTGACGACGATCACCCACGCGACGATCAATTCCGAAAGCTGGTTCAAGAACCGCTACGAAACCTCAAGAGTTCTTGGACGGAGGCAAGGTCCATCATAATAGACGCAGCTGACGAAGCAGAGCCTCCGCAACCTTGGTTTACTAGAAGTGCAATCGTGCCAATGGTTTTGACTCTTAACGACTTACTTCGGGACCACAACGTTCCCATCTCTCGTATACTGATTACCAGTCGTCCTCTCCCACTATATCTCGGACTCCAAGAAAACGAAGACGTTCGAGATTTCATGTACCCGATTCACATTGAAGACTTCGATGCCACTCCAGACATCGAGTTATACCTTAGGGAATCATTCAATTCTATCCACGCTTGCAGGCAGCTTCACTTTGTTCGCCAGAGACCATGGCCAACTCAGGATATTCTCGCCTCCTTATCCAGTCACGTCCATGGGCGGTTCATTACCGCGGCGACCATTGTTCGTTGGGTAGAGGCAGCGGAGCATCCAGTCGACTGCCTTAATCTCGTATCAAATTTGTACAACGGACGAGTGGACACCATCGATATTGACCTTCGCAGTTTCGACTCTCTCTACCACTACATCCTGTGCCAAGGTACCGAAGACGATCTTACACAACAACGAGCCGGAGCCGAGCTTTTGTCCGACATCGCTGCATTAGCTCAGCCTCTGTCGGCATCCACCATCAGTATACTGTTGGGTATAGACGTTCGGAAACAAACCGCCCGCTTAGCTGCCATCATCAATGTGCCGCCGCTGGATCCTGTCCAAATTTATCATCCTTCTCTCAGAGACTACCTAGCGGATGAATCTAGGTCACAGTACCTATATATTCAGCCCTGCGACTCGCATAATCGCTTGACGCAGTGGTGCTTCCGAACCTTCAGGTCCACGTTGCCGGATCACCCTCGAGGTAAGCGTTCAATCGCGGCGTCAGCTTGAACAATGTGAACAGGAAGAGGTCTAACTTTTGACCGCTATAGATGTTTCGCCCGCTTTGCAGTATGCACTGGACTACTGGACATTTCATCTACTCCATTCTGGTCAAACGCCCGAAGTTCAAGCTTTCCTCCTGGACTTTCTCTGTCATCAAGTGGAGCTTTACTTACACTTTTCCAGGCGAATGGGACAGAGTACGGAGGCCATGAGATCCCTGAGTAATGCACTTTCCATCGTAGAGAGCGTAAGTTTATCCACATCCCTTCGGGTTAGAGTCGTCTGACCTAGCACGGCTTCAGTCTTGGAGAAAGCCCTTCAATCGCCAGCAAGAGACAGTAGCATTGCTGCGACGCTACTGGTACGAAACTTTTTCTGAGTCTCAAGAGAGCGAACGTACAGAAGATAGCATCGCAAAAGATCTGCCACGACAGTTTACGCCAACGTCTAGGTTATCAATTCTCATGCCGTCGAAGTCACCACGACCTGCAGATATCAAGCAGTATAAGGATGATAGTAGCACATGGGCTCGGATTTTCCGTCGTCGTTTCTGAGCAATCAATATTGGGAGAAAGCGTGTACTGCGGGTACAGTGTGGCTGTTTCATGGTAATCATTCTACAGACATAACTGCTATTTCAATCATATATCTGTGACAGTGGATGAACAAGGATATGTATCAAAAAATGGATGGTAGCCATGAACAGTGTCCGTCACTGGAAACTTTGTATATACCTCATTGAAACCATCCTCCTATGCCTCGAAGCGGCCCCAAAGCCTGTAGTACCATGTCGGTTAGTTGCCCATCTATGTTTCGTAGCGGATAGGTGTGCGAACTAGATCAATGACTGTACATGTCGGAGGTTCGAAGATATGACAAAGTGCAAGGGCAGGGTAATGCTTCATTCGAAGAGACCGAGCATGCATCCGCCATTGCTAAGGCAAGTGCTGAGTGGAAGGCTCCTCGAGCTGGCGAAGCATTGATCATCGCGGAAACAGAAAAAAGTGAGAAAGAGATCTTTGGGAGACCTGAGACACTCGCGTTGCAAACTTGAAGGCGACTTGAAGGCGGTGCGCATGCCACTGCAGACAAACTATCATTTTTCTCTTACAAAAAGTGATTGAAGAAGGAGGACAGATGAAAGCCTTTTTCACCCATCTTTTGCTGTGCGAAAAGTTACGAAAAGTTAAACTTTTGCCTCGGAGTTTGCATTTATGTGCAGAGATTAGATAGAAACACGTCCAAATCGGGAAGATTAAGTCCAAATTCGGTAACCCGTCCATTTTACCAGCGCAAAATTAACGCAAATATCGGCTAAAAGAATACCTTTTCCTGTGTAAAAGGGGGTTATAAACCTCGGAGGAAAATGCTTTCATCTCGCCGCCTCTTTCTCCCGGTTTCATCCCGGGTAAAATCGCCGTTTGTCTGCAGTGTGCGGTTCACCACGAAAATCCATACTCCGCCTTGACTCCGCCTGAAAACGTAATGCAGGTCGCTTGATCAGTTGATGAACGCAAACATAATCTCCCCAGGACCGGTTTCAGAGACGTGCAGACGGAAACTAAGTGAGGCCCCATTAGATACAAGCGTTCAACGTTCAAAGCTCCAAGTTTCAAACTTCAAGCTTCAAGCTTCAAGTCTGAAATGCTCACGTAGCCGGCGCGAGAGTCCCGTCGGCATCCTGGCGCTTCGAGCTCGCCAAACTCACCGCCTCATATACGATGCATTAATCCAGCGTATTCTGTGACCTAGTATAGCGGTGAGTCGTGGCGGTCTATAAGCGGCAAACGATCTTACTTCACATTCGAAAGCACCCATAGCTTCTTGCCCCGTATAAGGAGCCGCTGTCCGAGTGCCAACGGAATCCATCGACATCAAAGTGTATGCCCGCGTTGTAAGAACCAGCGTCTACGTAAGCGGTGGTGAGTTTCAGAGAGTAGCCGATTAGGTTCTGAAGCAGGATGGCGCTTTTCTAGCCTACAGCCGCGGGAGGGGGCAGTTGAGATATCGATGGTGGTAACGTTAATGTAGATCCGCTCTGAGTGGTCTTTTGCGCTTTCTTAGGCTTCCAGCTCAGGTTGAAGTGATTGCTATTGCGTTCATTTCCATGAAGAGTGGACGTTTTCGTTCATGATGGTACACTAAATAAGCTTCATCTGTCCTGAAACGCAATCCACACGCGGCATTGGTGTCTATGGGCGCTTTGGCAAATTTCATTGGCTTCTTCGTCAACCCTGGGCACAGGGTAATGTACTTATTTGAGCGCGAGGTCGTCGATGCTCCGAAACGTCCCGCGCTTTCATCTTCCATGCTTAACCTGTCTAACAGTATGCCGCAGCACTGTCCCCCATGGGCCGAAGACGGCAATATCATCGTCGTATCCGCTGATGACTCCAAGGCCTTTCGCGTTCACCGCAGCATCCTCTCCATGTATTCCCAAGTGCTCGGGGACATGTTCGTCGCATCCCACCCTTCAGCAGAGGAGACATTGATCGAAGGCTGCCCCGTGGTTCACCTGCAAGATGCCGCGGACGATATCGAACACGTCTTGCGAGCCCTCTATGGGCGAGGGTAAGTGTGATTTGTTCCTGAGTTTCATATCGTACTGAATACTGAAACCTTGCCAGTTATTACGTTCGTCGAGTTCCTGCGACAACTATTCCATTCCCCGTCGTGTCAGCGTTTCTCCGCCTCGGAAAGAAATACGAGATCAAAGAGCTCTACGAAGATGCCAAAGCCTGTCTGGTTTCCGACTTTCCCGACGCATGGATGGAGTGGCACTCGCGCTCGAAGTCCATCGTTTCGCCCTCCCGAAAGGCGCTGTTGTTCAACGTAGCCAATTTAGCACAGGAGGCTGGCCTGCGTCGAGTCCTTCCTGCTGCATTCTATGCATGTTTAACGCAGTGCTCGCTGCAGGAGATACAGTGCGGAGTCCAGGAAGAAGGGGAGGTTACAGCTCTTTCTCCGAGGAACAGGGCAATATGCATCTCCGCGTGGCAGCCTTTCCAAAGCTGTGCTATCAGGACGTTTCTTTGGTTGGATCCAGCTAACTTTCCGAAACAATGCCAATCCAAAAACTCGTGCACCGAGCATAGATACGTACTCATGGGAAAGACGTTCTATCCTGCTCCTTCTTGTGAGCCGCTGGAGTACTTTGACTTGTCATGGAACGCAAACGTTTGCAGCGTATGCTCGGACTATGCTAAGTCCAATCATGGCTCTAACAGGTTCACAGCTTGGAGTCAACTTCCTTCGCTGTTCAGTTTACCAGCGTGGCATGAGTTGTCGGTCGAGGATGAAGGTGTGTTGGCCTCGACGAAATAAGCGATCGTGTACGTATGTTTCAAATCTTCTTCCTTGGTTTCCAACGTGATAGATTGTCTTGCTTGTCCGCACCATATAAACGCAGCGTTCTTCATGTGCATGTAGTCCTAATGTGATGTGGCTTAGTGGAAAAGGCCTACGAGGCTGGGTTGGTGGTTTGTTGGCATGACTGAGAAATCGAATCTTGTATCGATCCGAGACCTTGCACAACGCGCTCTCCCTTGTATTGTGCCCATCACCGCACACTATGTTCCTATTCTTCCGTGGCTTCCTTAGTTAAAGACATGGTTACTTAGACTTTACGAAGGTTGCCTGAAGAGATCGAGGGCTGTCCTGTCTGATCCAATTAACCAGCTTTGTTCCGTTGCTCACGATGGAGCCATTAGCTCCTATCTCTAAGGACTTTGAGCACAGATTATGCCCTACGTGCCTTCCGGCAGCCTCAGCTTCAAAACCCGACAGATTCCAAGCCATTTGGAGTTGTATCTTTGGCATCTTTGGCATATATGGCCTCCGTAGTCGAGATGAACTTCCAAACGGTGGCTGAGGTTGAGTTATGCATCAAGGTTGTCTGACTTGGCTTCGTGTCTGTTGAGAAGCGTTCAATTCTGTATCCTCAGGAGCAAGCTTGTCAATCATGATGGAGGGTATAGGACAGTAGCATGCTCGTTTTATTCTCGATGGAACCGCTAGATTGTCAGGCGCACAGCAACGTCCAACCCTCGTTTTGCTAGTTTGCTGCTAGTAGTCTCATTTGTAACTTTGATAGCCTGGATGCGATATTTTCCACCTTCAAGCTGCCGCTTGTTTCTCTCTAAGTGAAGGGTAATTTCGCGCCTAAACAGAATGTCCACTAATATTCATGTTTCGTATTGACGGAAACTTGGGAGAGGCTTGCTTGTAGTGGAGCGCGGCTCGGTCTCCTAAACTCCCTGTCCAATAGGAAGACGCACAGCCTAAAGCACCCGAACGCGCGCTCCTGCACGCGCTGTTTCTGCCTCTGTCGTCATCAAACTTCAGCTTCACATCCACTGCTGCAATAGCATCTGTCCAGAACCTGCAAAAGTCTACACAGACGCAGAAGATAAAGTTCTCTTACGATGGTGGATGAGGCCTCTATGCCTGACGGAGACTGGACACGTACCAAGCGAAGCACGCCATGGTGGGATGACGGGAATGTGATCCTCGTCGCTGAGAACCGCTCTGCTCTGTTTCGCGTCCACCGCAGCATACTTTGCGCGCGTTCGAGCGTATTCCAAGACATGTTTACCGTCGGAAGTGGGGGCGATGGGGAAGGGAGGATAGAAAACTGCCCCGTAGTGCATCTCCCTGATTCTGCGAGAGACTTAGGTCACGTTTTGACGGCTCTATACGACCGCAGGTGAGCGAATCCTACCTATGGCGTATCCCGTGGGGTATTCAACGACGTGAGCGTTAGCCACTGCGGTCCAGCGAATGAAAGCGTACCTATCACTGGGCTGGCTGCCTTCCTTCGCCTAGGGAAGAAGTATGATATCCCACACCTATTCCACGATGCCCGGAAGCAGCTTGAGCCCAGTGGAAACGTGCTGTGCTCGAATCGGTGGGAATCCGGGCGGATTGGTGAATCGAAGCATATCTCGTGGTGCTTCTTTGATGCACCGATACACACCAATGCGAACCGATGGCTGGAGTGTTCACCGATTTTTTGGTGCCAATTCATGACGCCCATTGGCTCGGATCCGGGCACGTCGGTTCGTATCGGTGCACGTATTCACGAATACGTGAACTCAATTTAAATAACTAATTGCCATAATTGAATACGACTCAATCTGGTTTATTCCATCCATGACGAAAATTCCAAAGCAGCTTGATATTATATATTAAAGGCTACTAAATATAAATACTGGCTATCTTTACAAATAATAAGCAGTGGTATTAGCTGGATACGCCCGATCGCGAGCCTGTTGATGAAATGAATCATGATGCATGATGTGCGATGATAGAGGTAGCGAGTACGTACCACGTAGAGAGCAAGCTTTGTGCAGTCGTTGAGCAAAGATAAGGTAAACTGTATTGCAGGAATCGGCTCACCTAAATGCTCGATTCCTTCCTACTCGTGAACTCGACGATCAGAAGTAATCTCGAGTGATGCAAATTAGAGAGGCTGACCGGTGTAGTGAACGAGGAAGAGTCATGTTGTGGCAACCAGTAGAATGTTGTAGTGCACGTAACCAAGTGCGTACAGGTGGCGTTCGGGGTGG